GACTTGTTTTGACCCTCAAATTCTTCAGTCGGCCTTATACTCTGGAGGTAACCAAAAAACCCTCCAGCCCAGTTCAAGAATAAGCCTTTGGAAAGTTACTTCTTCAAAAGCAAAAGTATCTCATATCATCTCTTCTCATTTTCTTCTCTTTATCCTTCATGCTGCCTACAAGATAAGGAGAATGAGAACAATCAGCAAAAACTCGAAATCAAACTTCTGATCTGGGACTGATTGCTTGGAACTCTGATTGCTTACCTTGTCTGTCACCTCTTTCAGTAGATCCCCTAGCTCGGCGACTTGGGGGACCCTACTACATGGTTTATATCACGCTTGACCAAGCCTGAAACTACAAGTAAGCTTCAAGTGAAATTGATACATTACCTTGTGCATCTCCACCAGTTAAAGATACCACCCCTGGACGGAGGAAGAGTACTTCCAAAGAAGATGCCACATCTACCTATGAGACAGATAAGGCAAGTGAAGACGATACCACACTTCGGTACTTAAAAGTTTTGTGATTACTCAGTGGCTTGGATCTTGCAAGTCCCCAACCGAGGAGCTTCCCCTCCAACCAGGAGGTCAATCACAGAGCGACACGTGTCGACATCAGAAGCCAATCATAGTGCGACACGTGTCAACATCGGAAGCCAATCACAACACGACACCTGTCAATGTCAGAACAAGGCTAGAAACTCTCTTCTATAAAATGATATCATTCTCCCAAAATATTTCCTAATGCCATTTGTACTAAATCATTCACTTGTACCCACTAAAGGAAAGCTTGAACCTATGTACTTATGTAAACCCTTCACAATTAATGATAACTCCTCTACTCCATGGACGTAGCCAATCTGGGTGAACCACGTACATCTTGTGTTTGTTCTCCTGTCTCTATCCTTTTACATATTTATCCATACTAATGACCGAAGCAATCTAGCAAAGGTAATAAACTTAATACTTTCTGTTGTACCAAAGTCCTCACTGATTTTGTGCATCAACAATCCTTAAGTCCTTACCTTTTTGCATTGGTAATGGATGAGTTAACAGGACATATTCAAGATGTTATTCCTTGGTGTATGCTTTATGCAGACGATATAGAGTTGATAGATGAAACTCAGAAAGGGGTAAATGCGAAGCTTAACCTTTGGAGAGAAGTGTTGGAATCTAAAGGTCTTCGCCTAAGCCGATCAAAGACAGAATATATGGAATACAAGCGGGATGGATGAAGTGGAAGAGTGCATCTGGCGTGTTGTGTGACCGTCGTATGCCACTGAAGCTCAAGGGAAAATTTTATAGGACGGCAATAAGGTCGGCGATACTGTATGGCACATAATGTTGGGCGGTGAAGCATCAACACGTACACAAAATGGGTGTAGCGGAGATGAGGATGCTTCGTTGGAGGTGTGGGCTCACGAGAAAGGATAAGATTAGGAATGAGTGGGTTGGACATGTGCAAAAAAGGCCTACTGACGCTCTAGTTCGAAGATGTGACTACGGGACAGAGGTTCAGGGCCGAAGGGGTAGACGAAGACCTAGGAAAACTTTGGAAGAGACCTTAAGAAAAGACTTAGAGTACTTGGATCTAACGGATGACATGACACAAAACCGAGTGCAATGGCGTTCTAGGATTCACATAGCCGACCCCACTTAGTGGGAAAATGCTTTGTTGTTGTTGTTATTGTTGTTGTTGGTGATAAACTACGATTGAAATATTTGTATTTGCTTGAGATGCATCATGCACCATTTATTTCATATGATCTTACTTCCCTATATTAACTACATTCTAAAAGATGAAATTGGTACAGAGGAACAAGAAGACGATAGAGAGAAACAAAAGAGATTGTATTGATTGATTAGAGAAAATGTATACAACTGAACTTAAGAAAATGATAGCTATACAATCCCTTATATAGCTATATAACCCAATTACAATAATACCCTTCTAAATATATTTCTGTTATATCAGTTATTACTCCCCCCTCAAACTAAACTTGGAGTATCCAAGTGAAGTTTGAACTAGCCAGGTATTTGAGACTGATCTGGAACTACAAGACTAAGATGGCTGATGGAAGTGGTCTGCCTTCAATTGCTTCTAAACCTCTACAAAGACAAGCTTATACGATGTAATACTTCCTTATGACCAAGCAATGGCCCTTGGTAAGACTAACATTGATGTTGATCGTATTGCTGCAGGATTACCATGCGTTAGTGAAAGAAAGAACGATTCGACATAACACAAATTCCAGACATTTATGGCCTGTACAAATACGATCTCTTGCATAATGCACACATCAATCTAGAAGGTCTTGATGAGCTGTTCAAAGTTGCTCAGTTACTTGCAGATGGAGTCATCCCAAATGAGTATGGTATTAATCCAACACAGAAACTCAAGATTGGTTCAAAGATTGCTCATTGTTTGTTGGGTAAGATAATGATTGACCTGAGGAATACTCGCGAAGAAGCCATCAGTGTTGCTACTGAACCAAAGAGTGATCAGGATGAACATTCAAAGCCAACCAATACTGAAAATGAAGATAAAGAGAAACCACTAATCTGCAATTACTGTTACGAATCAACTGAAAACTGTCTTGGATACATCTCGAGGCATGTATCTCTCATGTAAATGACAAGATAGGCAAGAGACTGATGGTATGTGTTGTTACCAACAAATTGTTACTAAAAAGCTAACGACATATATGTATAGCTTTGAGGCAGGAAAGGATAACCGATCATGTTTAATAACTGCCCCAGTGGTGTAGCCTGTTGGTGTAGCCATGATGAAGACACAAGTCAATCCACAAATAAAAAAAAAATTAAAAAAAAAAACAGAGGAATTCTTCTAAGCAGCAAGAGAATGACACTCTTGACTCAAATGTTAAGGCAACAAGAGAATGACACTCTTGATTCAAATTCTAAGGCAACAAGAGAATGATACTCTTGGCAAATTCTATGCAACAAGAGAATGATACTCTTGGCAAATTCTATGGAATCAAAGAAAGAATGATACTTTCTTATCCATCAAGAAAGAATGACACTTTCTTGAAATCTCATAGTCCAACCAACTTCACAAAAAAAAAAAAAAAAAAAAAAAAAACAACAACAACAACAACAAAACCGCAATTTTCAACTTAAACCCATATCGGCAAGATCACTCCACCAACTTGCAGTGGTTCCTTTGACCAAGTAATTGTAGCCCCAATTTATAAATGAGCCCCACCAACTTGCAGGTCTTAATCTTCACCAGTTTTAGTATCAACATACAATTTCAGCAACGATTACAACAGAAGCAATTACAACAGCAAGCGAAGAGCAGGTGCAGTCACAGCACCAAGCCACAACCAAGTAGTAAAGCTGTAATTCTTAACCAGCAACAAAAAAAAAATACTTGAAAAAAAACCCATAAAATATCCATTCTAATTGTTCAAGAATTCAGAGAAAAGGGACTGAAAACATAACCTTCACATGAAACTTTTGAGTTGGGTATTTCAACAAGCACCTGGAGTGCACCCATGTTTGATCTTTCTTCTATACCAGAGAATAAAGAATCCACTGACCCATTTCTTCAAACAGTTGGAGTGCACATAATTAGAACATGAAGAGCTCTCATGATTTGTAATCTTGAACAAACAAACACCACCAAAGAATTCAGACATCAATTTAAGTAGACCACCAAGAAGAAAGAACTATATCGAAGACACCTATGAATCCCTGCACCGACTGCCCAACACTCTCACTGTCATCACTCTGCCTTAGGACCACCGCTTCTCGCTCAACAATGTCACCGTCACTGCTTTCCCAATTTTCGATGTTGGGTCGCTGATAATTTGTTTTGGAATTGACAGGTTCTTGAATCCTTACTTTAGGATTTCGGGTCCGATTCGAAGCTACTCCCCCAAGAACCTCAGTTGCTTGGCCCTCAAGGAGGTTCCCGATTAGAGGATGGAGCTCAGAGATCCAAAAGGGTGCTTTGTCATGGCGTCATTTCTTGAACTGCAATTTCATGGTTCAGTCTTCAAGTTCTAGACGATGCTGAATGCGATTGCTCCATTTAACCAAGTTCTGATGAAACGAAGAAATCAAACACTAATCAACCCAGAAGTAAAAGAACGATCACGGAAGCACCCAGAAACTTATCCGAACATCTAATGAAAATTTGGAAAGAAACTAAGCTAGAAATAGATGAAAAATAATGGAAAGTTGAACCACCAGAATCCATGGCGTGATCCTGGTGGCTCTGATACCATATTAACTACATTCTAAAAGATGAAATTGGTACAGAGGAAGAAGAAGACGAGAGAAACAAGAGAGATTGTATTGATTGATTAGAGAAAATGTATACAACTGAACTTAAGAAAATAATAACTATACAATCCCTTATATAGCTATATAACCCAATTACAATAATACCCTTCTAACTATATTTATGTTATATCAATTATTACCCTAAGTTACATAACCATCATTAAATTATCTTTAGTTCAAATTCTTATACCAAAAGAAAAGAACGTGTGTCGCAAAAGTTAAAGAATTATTGTTTAATGATCATAGGGTTTATATCTTGTAGAAATTGGAATTAGAATTCCAAAATTCTACACTCAGGAGACTGTTTCCACAGCATTGACGCAAACTCTTACATTTGGTTACTTGAACTGCTGATATTTCATCCTAAATTGTTATATAAATTTATGTACAATGTTGTAGAGTATGTCCAACTTGGAAATTTTTTTTGCAGTTGAATTTTTGCAGAAAAATTGTTGCTATTTACTATAAGTAAACGGTCGTTGTTTCATTTAGGAATCTTCAGAACAAAATCTTGGCCGTGATATGAACACCTCTCCATAACATAACTTCTTGATTCTGAACTTTGTCAAAGTAGTAAACTTTTCCAAGAAAGAGTGAAGTGATTTGGGTTGCCTTATGCATGGCTGTTGGCTGTGTTTGCTTCTTTCATGTTTTTGAATGTTAATTTTTTGTAGGCATTAATTTGAAGTTGAAGTAAGATGGGAGGGGGTACAGCCAACAACGATGAGTCTACCGATCACAGAGGGCTGTTTTCAAATATTGCTGGATTTGCTGCTGGACACATGGCACGGCCTGGATCACACCATGGATATCCCCCAGATGGATATCCTCCCCAACATGGGTACCCTGCTCAAGGTGGATATCCTCCCCAAGGTGGGTACCCTCCTCAAGGTGGTTACCCTCCTTCCGTTGGCTACCCTCCATCTGGGTATCTTCGCGGACCTCCCCCCGCTGGATATCCACAAACGGCCTATCCCTCCCCTAGTGGATATCCACCAGCCGGTTATCCAGGTCCATCAGCTCAACATCATTCAGCTAACCGAATCGCTGTCACTTAGTTCTCTTGTATAATTTATGATACGTGAGTATAGTTCATTTTCAATCGTATTGGTAAATTTACCCTCAGCGGTCCTTCCATGCATTTTGTTAATTTCCTGTCTAAAAGAATCTGCAAGTGTCGTAGCAAAATTTTTCATCCTAACAGTCATTTCATGACCCTCCGAGCCTACCCTAGTGTTGTCCAAGAACTGAACCACTCAAGCAATCCAAACTGATGAATGTTTTGTAACTTTCAAGGTTCTTCTCGACCATTATTCTGCAGTTAAATTTGGTTCTAGAAAAGAAAGAAAACAAGGTTTACTGAACCAAAAAGATGCTGATGACCATTCAAAATGAGAATTGATAGAAAGCTGTTGGTAGAGTTACATACACCCTTCTCTTTGTTTTAAAAGATGACGAGCATCAATTTAGGGTTTAATTAAGAATATTAGTGTTTTACATCATTTTATATCTATAGAAATTCATGTAGTACACGTAGTGCTCCCTTCCTCTTCAGGGTTTGGCTATAAGATGTTAGGGGCATGTGCGGAAGATAGGCCCTCACATAAAAAAAATCCTTATATAACAAAGCTAGTTTATATGTCTATAGTTGTATTAATAATGGATCTAAATAGAGCATTAGTACTCGTGAGTTATAGTTCAAATAAAAAATAATTATAAAAACAAAATAAAAAACACATTTAGAGCAAAGCCAACACAACAAAACTAAAACACATAAAAGTGATTCTCATATACGAAGGTCATTATTTCTCTTATTCATATTCAGATTCTGTAAAACACATAGATGATATCATTTTTTAGGGCCCCTTAAGATTGGAGACCCTGTGCAAGGGCACCTACTTGCACATTCCAAAAGCTGCCGCTGTTTCTCCTTTTTCTTCCGTACAATATGAGGACCGTTAAACACGGCTTATTGCCTAATTTTAATAATATTACATTTCTCCACTAGACCCTGACGAACATCAGATATATAGGAAGATCACAAAAAGGGACTCATTAGTAGAGGCATGGATCATTGCAATTTTCGACTGACGAAAAAACAATATATATTACAGGTCATGGATCACCAGGTATGGGAATGGGGGCCATGTTAGCTGGGGGTGCTGCTGCCGCAGCTGCTGGCTACGGAGTTCACCATCTTGTGCATGGGAGCCACCACGGTGGAAGACATGGTCACGGCGGCTATGGGGGCTTTGGTCATGGAAATTTCAAACATGGGAAACACGGAAAATTTAAGCTCGGTAAATTTGGCAAGCTTGGAAGTTCAAGAAATGGAAGTAAGAGTTCATCTATTGGATGGTGATTAAAAATTCCAACTTTATACAGGAGTTCACTTTTCTTTTTTTTTTTTTAGACTCCAACTTTGTATTAGAGTGTTATTATTGGCACTGTAAAAAAAATTCCAAATTTCTATATTTAAAAAGAAAAATACACTTATGATGAGTGTATTGAGGTTTTACCCTTATTTTGTACTGTATCTTATCTTTCTATTATTTTGGATTTTATTCTTGAAAGCACAATAAACATTAATCTAATATTTTACCGAACCTAGACTTTAATATTGTTTTAGCGTTTTTCATTTTCATAAAACAATTTGATAAACGCATTTTGCACCTGTTTTTGTATTTGCAAAACTAAAAACTGTTTTGTAATTACTGAACGGATCCTAAAATAATATGCAATAGTTTTTTTAATTTTTTTTTAGTTTTGATTTTATTGCGTCAACATTTCTTTTATATCTCTTCTACCATCTTTCCTCCAAACTTCTCCCCCCCCCCCCCCACCCCCAAAAAAAAAAAAATCTCTTCTTTATATCTAACACAAAAATAAAAATAAAAAACGAAATATGCATCAAACTAGCCCTTAATATACTATAGCTCATTTTAGTCGGACCCGTTTCAGAATAATATAACTATTTGAATCGTAGAAATCTAGTTAAGCTCTTATTAGTTAAATAGTAGGCCAGCACTCAGCAGCCAAAGTCTTGGTTGTTGAATGACTTATGCAAATCTTTTTCCTACAGGGAAAAAAATCACAAACATAATTTATGAACAAAATATACAAATAAAAACCAACTCATGCAGTCAAAGTCAAGAATCAACCACCGTTTGATCACCTACTCTCCAACAGGTTTTGCATGGTTCCTGGTCCCTTGCTAGGTTCTTGTTGCTAGTTTTGATATAATTTTATTTCATTTTTCTTGTTTTCCTTTTAATTTATCCAAAAGAATGGAAAGCAAATTTGCGCAACTTTTTGGTTTGCATGTTCCTGGGGATTGAGTGGTTTAGATGAGGGTCCACATGATCCTGCTCTCACATGCACTACAGATGTCCTTATGTGCATATCCTTTTTAAACGATTAAATGTCGCTTTGTTGTGTTGACTGCTTGTGGTATTTGGTGACAATGGCTAGATTATAATGCATCTTTGCTTGTTTACAACGCAGTTAATTAGAGCAGTGTGTTTGTTTCTTTGCTTTAGTCTATTTTATATAAGATGCTGCGTTTTCTTGCTTGCTTGCGTTCATCTACCCTACAATATAACGAGTTTACTTGCTTTCGTCATTCTAATCATTAAAATAATGCAGTTTGTTAGAGCAATGTGTTTGCTTCTTTGCCTTAATCTACTCTATTAGATGATGTGTTTGCTCGCTTGCATGCATTTGTCTCCTCTTTACAGAGGAGTAGAGTAATTTAAAATGTTATTTTATCAAGAAAAAAAAGGCAAGTGATTGGTTTCTACGAATTTCTAGAAGCCATACTTCTATATATGTAATGACAGTTTTCCTTTAGGACATGAAAACTTACTTTGGGTTCTTCGAAAATGAATGAGAATTAGAAAGGAGCATGATATCATAGTTAGAACTTAGAATGGAAAGGTTGATCAAGCCAAAGGCGATGCTCGAATGGGTTTTCCTAATTGTCACTGCAGTACCTAATTTTTAGCGCACTTTTGGACTTTAGGTCAAATAATACATCAAAGTAGAGTCGATGGCTCTAAAAAATACATTTGTAAGAGTTTGAAATCAAATTAGGAGTTCGAGACCTTTGTTCGTTTCTACTAGACCAACCTCATGGGGTTAATTTTGAATCATTTAAAATGCATCTGTCATGCATGCTAATTAAATATTAAGAATGTTTGTTCTAAATTCGAATCTTTCAACAACTTATTAAGTTGTATAAATATGTCGAGTATTTTCTAATAAGACGGGGCATGTGGACTTGTGGTTTGGGCGAGGAAGATGCATGTTAGCTTGCTGCTGATAATGTGAAGCAGTCACTCTCTTCATTTCTTATTTGTGGGAACTAGTCACTTTCAGCAATTAGTCAACTGTCTTGCGTTTCCATTGCTGAAAACAATTGGGTTAAATTAGAAATCAACATGATTATAAGCTATAAGTTATATCATTATTAAATTAGATATATACGTCATTATAAGGTATATCATGCATCATCTAGTTATCGTTAAAGGAAAATTTTAGGAAACATACTAAATTTGGGGTGAGCGTAATCTAGTTTGGATCGATTTCAATGACAGAAACATGTTATAATTTAATAACTTTTTTTTTTTTCAAGTTTTAGTTTTTTAATTTTTAGCTTTTAGTTTTTATTTTTTTTAACTAAAAACTTGTTTGGCAACTAGTTTCAATTTTTGGTTTTGAAAAAATTAAAAACAAAAAATTAAAAGTCGTAGTTTTGAAAACTAAAAGAGTAGATTTAGATTTAGATTTTCAGTTTTTCTTTTTTCTCATTCAATATTGAAGGTAGTTATCAAACGAGTTTTCAGTTTTTAATTTAAAATATATATATATATATATGAAAACAAAAACTACAAATTGGCAAGTGATGAATTGTTATAGTGGTTAGGACATTCCTCGTTAATCCACTGCATCTTCTCGCCTCCCCTTAGAGTAAGAATATTGCTTATACTAAAAAAAATTGCAAATTGAAAACGATGGTTAACAAAGGATCTATTAGCAATACACCCTGAATTATGCATCTTGACCTACTTTACTGTATGAACTTTGAATTTGGTTATGAGCTTTCCTAAATTTCAAATCGTGTCAATATTCCTACCGTCGTTTGCACTATAAAAGCATTACGATTATGTACCATCCTACACACTTTATGGTGTCATTTTGCGTTGGAACTTTGTGTGAGCTACCTCTTCAAACTCTTCTTTTAAAGATTTTGCTTTGCCTATTGGCTCTATTTTTTTCAAAAGACAAGAGAAAAGTGGCTTTTTTCCCATCCCCATTCCCCACCCTTGCTTCACCCACGGTGTCTGTCTGCACTCCCTGCCAAATGAAAACGAATATTAATTTTGTTGGACTTGGATTGTTTGCGCTCCCATCTCATACCCTTACATGTTCTCATATATTATGTGATTATGGTTAAGCCACGTCAACATTTTATATTGATTTTTTTATAAAAATAATAAGACAAAAAACAATTGGAATATAAAATGTTGACGTGGCTTAACCGTGATCACAAAAAATAGGAGGACATGGGGAGGGTATGAGATGGGGAGGGCAGACAATCTATATCCAATTTTGTTTAGTCCTTAACCATACATGCGCATCAAGTCTCTTTGCAATTTTTTCTTTTCTTTCAATTTTCCAATCTTTCCATTTCAATTGAATGTTTAAATTAACTATCACATGATCTTCAATATTGTACTTTAAGGTAATTAAAACTTTGAATTTACATTTTTCTTTTCAATAATTTATTATTCAATGGATTATTTTAATATTTGATTTGTTAGTGTGATGTTGATTCAAGAAAAAAAAAACAATTGGCTTTGTTAAATTTATTATACTCGTCAATCAAGTTTTATTGTTCTTTACTCTCTTGATCATCAAGTTTTATTGCTCTTCACTCTCAATCTTAGACTCTTGACTACAAATATTTAGTACATTTGCGTCTAAAAATGTGAGACGTATAATATTTAAGTAAAGTTTGTCTATTTATCTTCTTTTGATATTCATTTTTAATGATATTTAATGTGAAATAACTTTTTTTATGTATTTAATGAATTTTTTTTTACACATATCAATATACAAAGAACCGAAAATCAGAAAACATTAAGCCTCAATGCGAAAACTTATCTAGGACCGCAAACCTGTGCCACTTTTTTAACTCAATGCATCTCAATTTCAACTCTTTCATTTTTTTAGTCTAACTTATTAATTAGTACTAGGACCGCAAACCTATGCTACTCTTTTAACTCAATGCATCTCAATTTCAACTCTTTTACTTTTTTAGTCTAACTTATTAGTGAGAGTAATAATAAGTAATCTGAAAAAAAAAATGAGAAGAGGAGATGAAGTCAGAGTTGTCAAAGAAAATTAGAATAGGGAAGGGACAGATTGGGGGGAGGGAATTCAACTGCTAAGCAAACAAGTGTTGGTTACAGCTGTATTCACGACCACCGCTATCCCTCTCATCTGCTCATCTCTTACTAATATTTCTTTAATTCATTAAATAATAATCCATGTATTAGTAATAATAACACAATAATCATCTTCACTCTCGTGGTCACTGGTCACCAGAAAATAAAGTTATCTTTTTGGCAAAAAAAATAAAAAATAAAAAATAAAATATGCGGCATTGGATTTGATATTAAACGTCAAAATTAAAGTGCATTTTTAAATTACTAAATAATTAAGAGAACGTTTAATTTTATATATTTACTTTCACATGATGTCAGCCCATTTTTATTTATGATTTTTTGTCGAGAGATTGTTACTTTTTTTTTTTAAGCAAAATTTTATACCAAGAAAATAAAAAGCTTGAAATGTCTTATAAGATAATGTTTGCCGTAAAGTATATTTTTGTTTTGGAATATCTTATAAGATAATGGTTGCCGGGGTCACAATTTACGTTGAAGGAGTGGTTTCCACCCATTTCAATTCACTATATCGCTTCTCTTCTAAATTATTCAATCTAAACTGCTAAAATAAATAAGAAAATGCAAGAGGTGAGAAGATGAGTGCAAAAATGACTGATGTGGCCTTTTTACTGTTGTGATAACTTGTGTTATTTTTTGGTTCAACGTTATTTCTTGGTTCCAAGTATATGACACTATAAGCATGACAAAATATTGCCATATAAACGAGAAATTTTTTAGTGTACCGAAAATAAGGCACGATAAAACGAGTGTAATATTAAAGTGGGTTAGAAACTTGAAAAAACAATTACAATTACTTGGATTATGATATTTTGTGTAACAAGTCGTGTTATTAGTACATTAAAATTTTATTTTCCATATATACGAAAAGGAGATTATTTTCATTTAATTTGTT